CCCAAACCCAAAACCCACACATTACCCCATCTTTTGAACCCACTTTAGATTAATAATCACAATCCCAATAATGGCCTAATCAACCAGCCCCCTTTTCCCTTGTTGTAGCCGAACACAATCACCCAAAAACCTGCCCAAACCCATGTCACAACCCCCACACTTGTTCCCCATTATGCTCTCCATTATATGTAAGGAAACAAGCTGCAAACAAACAAGACATATTGGCCCACCTTGGCAGCAATCCCACTCACCTTTGCATCTCCATAAACCACCTATTGCATCCCTCCAAAATAGCCAGCCCACTCACCCTTTGTACCCCCTGCCTCGCCGAAACAACCCACCCAAAAACCCCCAAAATAGCAGCCCACTCCACCACAATAATAACCCAACAATAGCCCCACAAGCCAGCCCCTATCTCTGATTTCCTCCCCCACCAAAGGACTCAAATAAGTGGTTATTATTCCTTTAATTTGTGTGAATAAGAGACTTGGTAGTCTCCCTTGTTTTGAATAAGAGATTGTATTTCCCATTTCAGTAGCAATACACTTGTGTGTGTTCTATTTTAAATTCCTATTTCTATATCTTAAGAGTGGTTCTCTTAGGTGTGAGTTATAGGTTCTAGCTATTTGAATAAGTGCGTAATATCTTATTTGAATACTAGATTCACCCCAAGTAAAAGATAAGAGTGTGTAATATCTCTTAACACCTGCTTGGTTTATTCCCCCCTCAAGAAAACAACTAAAATATATACTTCCCTCCTCCACTTTATTTCGGCCACCACCCCAAGAACCCATCCCCTTCTCATTCTCCCCTCTCCTTCCTTAACCACAATCACCCTGAACTTCCTCTCTCTTGTTCCATACGTCCCAGCCCAAAACACCCACAAAACAGCTTTTGCCCTCTCATCCATTTCCCCTTGAAGTTGAGCCTAACATTTGGTATCAGAGCTTTGTGTTGCCCATCCCTCAAGGACCATTCACACATCTCTAAAAGTAAGTTGTTCAAGCTCAAACTCTGTCCTTTGTCACTCTCCAAAAACTCGGCCAGAACCTACACTATCTCCCACTCCCTCTCCACTTCAACTAGTCAAATGAATCCCAAAACATGTCTTATGAAGAGCTCATTGCCTCCAATGCAGCCTTGAAAGCCCAAGTAGAGTACTTGGCTAAAGAGGTAGCCAAACTTACAAAGATGAAACTCAACGAGCTACAAGGAAGTGACCGCGAAGAAGACGTTAGCTCTAGTGGAACCATGAAGCCTAAAGCCAATGAAGGTTCTGACTTCAAAGTTGACATTCCAACTTTTGAAGGGAAGAACGACCCGGACGAGTTCCTCGAGTGGTTAGAAACGGTGGAACGCGTCTTTGACTTCAAAGATGTTTCCGACGAAAAGAAGGTCAAGATAGTGGCCTTAAAGTTCCAGAAGTATGCATCGACTTGGTGGACTAATACGTGCACCAAGAGGAGAAGGAACGACAAGGAACCGGTGTCCACATGGGCGAAGATGAAGTCTCTTCTAAAGAAGAAGTTTTTACCCGCTGAATATGTTCGTGAGAATTTTGCTAAGCTTCAAACGCTTAGGCAGGGTTCTAAGTCTGTTGAAGAATACAACCGGGAGTTTGAAGAGCTCTTCTTGAGATGTGACTTACAAGAAGATGACGAACAAACCTTTGTTCGTTACCTATTTGGCTTAAACCTACAAATAGCCCACACGGTGGAGTTGCAAAGTTACGACTCTCTCAAAGAACTCACGAAGTTGGCCCTCAAAGTTGAAGCTCAACATAAGAAATCCAAAGCCTTTTTCTCCAAAAATAACAACCCTTCCCCACGGCCTTACTCCTCCACATCCAAACCACCTTACCCTTCACCAAAATTACCTTACACTACCCCCAAAAACCCCACTACTGCCCACGACCAAAACCCCTCCTCCTCCTCCCCATCTACCTCCAGAAACCCCTCCTCTTTCACACCCCGGGCTGATCCCACAAAGAAAGCACCTGTTTGCTTTCGGTGCCAAGGACGAGGTCATTATGCCAATGAATGTCCTAATAAGAAGGTAATGGCCATTGTCGAATGTGATGAAGAAGACTTTGACCCAACTTGGGTTGGAGACGTAGCAGAAGACGTGGAAGAACAAGACGAGTACGTAGGCCCCGGTGATGGAGAACTCTTGGTCATCCGAAGGACGTTGAGCACTCTAGCATGCCCCGAGGAACAACTACAACGGGAAAACATATTCCACACCCGTTGCACTGTCCAAAAGAAGGTGTGTTCCCTCATCATCGATAGTGGGAGTTGCACCAATGTGGCTTCCAAAACCATGGTAGACAAGCTGCATTTGAAGACGTCACCACACCCGAAACCATATACGATTCAATGGTTGAATCATGGCAAGGGTCTACGTGTTGATACACAAA